CTGAAAGTATGACCCATTACTATCTGTTCAGTTCATCTGATTTATAATTCACTTCTTAACTTGCCTGTAAAAAAAAACCTCAATTGTCCTCTGTGCCAGACTTATGTCTGGTCTCCAGCTCTTAAAAAGGCACAGTCTGTCATGAAATGAGGACAGATGGACCCAGTATTCAAGGCGAGACAGTCAGTAGGAAAGTTCAAAAGGTTTATTAAAATAAAAACAAAACAAAAGTGGAGCTGTGGCTCGCGGACACTGCAGGCGGGGGGCGGGGCACCGCCCAATCTCAGACACTCTGGGGCAGAAACACAGGTAAGTGACCACGATCAACTGATAGGAGATTATCTGTGTTGGTCACTTACCTGGTTTAACAGTCCAGACCACAAGTGTCCCGAGTGCTGCAGTCCCAGAGATTATGCTGGAAGCTGATCCTGGTCAGGGATCCAGAACAGACAGAAACCGGCAGGATCCAGATCAGGCAGGAGCAGAAATAGGTGGCAGGATCCAGACTTCCAGGCATCCACAGGCTTCCAGGAGGGTTCAGAGTCTGACTGGGACCAGAAGCATGACCAGGTGGTCACGCACAGGAGCAGACAGGATCAGGTGCAGACAGGCAGGCTCAGTGGAAGAGGGTAGCCGAGACAGGACGTAGGAACCGGAACTTGAAGCAGGACTTTAAACTGGTCTCCTCCCTGGAGCCAGGCTTACTTTGATAAAAACTGAACCTCCCCCCATAATGAGCCAAAAACCCAGAGGACTCCACGGGGGAGGAACAGTGGACAATCAGGAGACAAGACAAACACTAAAACCCTCTTTCCACTGGCTGCTAGGATCCAGGACATGAACCAAATAAAACTGAACAGAAAGACTGACAGAAAGACAAGCAATGATCTGGCACTGAATGCTCAGGCTGAACTGAATATAAACTAGAGAAAACAGGTGAGAGGAATAAATTATAATGAGGCAGGGAGGGAAAAACGACAGGTGAAAGGAATGACTAATTAAGGGAGAGCAAACAGGCCAGATCATGACACAGTCCTGTTGTATACAGATAAAAAAAAGACCAAAAACTATTTGAATATGGTACATATACACCAAGTGTCCAACCTGGTTGTGTTTTGATAGTATTTCTTTTGTCTAAATTGGATTAAATATGCAGCTGCATAATAGAGTACAACCATCCTACACTGTATCACAATGAATGGATTTTTATCACAATGCTCAGTCTTTATTTGCCCTGAATTTGAGCAGGTAAATTAGATGATTTATCAATGATGAGCATTTTTGCCCTTAAAGAGACATTTTATAAATTTTTACTGAAAAATATATTTAAAGTATTTTTATTTGACCTCTTACAACTAAAACATCGTTCGTTGAGCAGACTGACGCCTTGGTAGTTCAAGGCAGATGCATCTATAAGCCTGTAGCCTGATCCTTTGGGTCAGAAGTTACCAACACAGTGTGGATCCGACCACAAGCATGTTAAACGTGTTAAATGGGTCCAACCTTGCAAAAAAAAAAGAAAAACTTTATACCGAAGATGGGTTTTTTGGATACTTGGAAGCGATCGGCATCCAGGTCAACTCACACATCAGTGGCGACTCTACTTTACGTGAAAAGAATAAAAACAAAAACTTTGTCAAGAACGAGTGCAAGCTACGAGAACGAGCAGAAGATAGTTGCAGTTCCGTGTTTTGGCCACAGGTGGCCGTATCATTAGAGAACTTCTTAATTTCTCTCTAAAATAAGAAAATCAGATATTATGCAACTGAAAGATGATAATGTTATTTGTTCCTATTTCATTTCTTTTCCGTACACTGGAATACTTTAAATCCCTTTTAAATCTCTTTAAATCCCTTAACAGATTTGAGAGCTGACACAAGCTTCTTTCTGAAGGTCTCTGACAGCTTGTTGGGTCTAAACAAAATCAGAAGCACCATATACCCAACGTCTGAGATTTAAACAGATCAATAAACCTTTAAAAAGATATACCTCTTTTGAACACCAGCTCTTATTTACCTTTGTGTCATTTCAACAGGGAATTGGGTTGTCCTCCTTATATATTCCTAGTTACTGTTGGGATCCTCAGGCTTGTCCACCAGAGGGCGCCGAGGATCCTTTTCTGCTATCTTTGTTTTTCCCTTAGGGTTGGAGTTACTGTGGGGATCTGGAGATTACCCTCTGTCTCCAGTAGGATGCGCTGTGGGTCTTCTGGAGCTGGAACCTTCCTGCACACCTGTTCCTAATCCTCTTATCAGAAGACCTCAGTATTTAAGCTGCCTTCAGACCTTGATTCCACGCCGCAGTGTTGATCTTAGTTGGTTAGCTTCCTGAGCCTCTGTTACAGAAGATTCTTTGTTATCTCAAGTGTGAGATCAGAATCTAATTCTTCCTTGTCTCTGCCTCACAGGAATCCTGTCTCTTCGTGAAGGCTCTGGATGAGCTTAACCTCCTGTCTCTTCGTGGAAGCTCTGGATGAGCTTAACCTCCTGTCTCCTCGTGAAAGCTCTGGATGAGCTTAACCTCCTGTCTCCTCGTGAAAGCTCTGGATGAGCTTAACCTCCTGTCTCTTCGTGGAAGCTCTGGATGAGCTTAACCTCCTGTCTCCTCGTGAAAGCTCTGGATGAGCTTAACCTCCTGCCTCTTCGTGAAAGCTCTGGATGAGCTTAACCTCCTGTCCCTTCGTGAAGCTCTGGAAGAGCTGTCTCTCTGGCAACCTGTCTCTGGCCTGCAGCTCTGGGAGAGTTGCATCACAGGAAGCCAATCCCAAGCCTGAAGCTCTAGGAAAGCTAACCTGCTAATCTGCCCTGGTGAGCCAACCCAAGATTCCTACATGGTTGAAACCTGAAGACTTCTGTGGAGTTTCCCTAGAGGTTCCCATGTGGATTATCCCCTGTTCTCTGCGTCGAGCTGGAAGCTCAGATCCTTGCTAGCCTAGCTAAGCATACAGCTAGAGGCTTAGCCCCTCATGATCTCTGTTATCCAGCCATTCCCCGTTCCCTGCACAGACCCCAGTGAATCAGCCTCCTGCCTGAACTGTTATTCACGTGCTTGTGCCTTAAAATAAACTCTTTGGACTTTTTACCAGTGCCTCTGTGTGTGTTCTGCATCTTGGGCTTTACTCTAAGAGAACCCATCATGACAGTTACAAATGCCATCTTTCAACACCTTTTAGAGAAACTTCCAAAGTTAATTTAATCAGTCTTAGTATTTATTTCTAAAAAGCTCCATCCTTGTATTTGTTAGTTTAGGAGACAAGTAATAAGGATTTTCATCCAGAGTAGATAGAGTCACATATACATCAATGTGGCTGTAATTTTGTACACAGTTCTCCATATTCAGTAATCTAAATCCCAAGAAAACCATCTTATTCACCTAAATTTCAGCAAGCATGAGCGTTTTAGTCTTCTTTGGAAGACCTATGTGTCTCTTGCTTCACAGTTCATCTGGCACAAACACAAGATGAGAAAGGCAGAGGAAGAGAAAAACTGTCCTTTCAGGGTTCCAAATAAAGGAAACAAATAAAGGAAACAAACCAACCAGAGCACAGAGGATAATATTTCTAAATCAATAGGTGATCTAATTTGCATATTTATGTATAGTAAAACAGTTGTCCATTTAAAGTAGAGATAAACCGATTCAGGGATTTTTAAAGCCCATGCCAATGCAGATTATTGTGAAACCAGTTTAAACAATTCCTTGATTAATGCTGCCTCTATATTTTCGGGCCGATTTTTAAAGCATATAATGCTTTCTCTTCCTCCTTATACATAATTAAATGGGCATGAAGGAGCAGCAATCTCAAGGCATGGCTGCTGAAAGCACCGATCGGCAAACAAGCGCACGTGTTGGCCAGTATCAACATAAAAAAAAGAAATTTGCAATATCACCCCATTTTACCCAGCAGCAGTAAGAAACTGACTTTCTCACTCTAGCCTCTTAAACTGGGTTTGGAGCTACAGAGAAGGGAAGAGTTAAAAGGCGTAGAATCATGCATGCAAGTAGAGCTAAGATTTTTTCCTCAAAATTGTAGCATCTTGCCATAATTTATCTTAGAGAAGCAAGCTTCCACGCTCCTAAGAACAATGAAACAGAGAAGTTAAATATTACAAAGCTTGTGTTTAGTGCAAATGACTATAAAAAGAAAACTTGCCGGTATCAGTTTTAAAATAAATTGTGATTTTGAGTTTTGGTCAAGTTTTTTAGACCTGATCTCTAATTTAAAATAATTTAAGTATAAAACAGACTATATACGGTAGATTATTTAGGAGTGCACATGTGTGCTTAAAAACCTTCCCAAACTAACCCAGCACTTAAATATGTTTTTTGAATGGAGTGATATTTGCAAATATTCCTCTTTGTAAGAACTATGGATTAATCTTGATCTCCATCCTATATAATGTAAAAACACACACACAAAAAGCTTAATCATCCTTAAACATGTGTGGAAGTAACTCAGAATATGGGTTGATGTAGGCAGCATAATTTGTTGTATAATAACTGACAACCACATATGTAGGATAAGCCATTCCATAAACAATACAAAACATTTTCTTTGTATTTATCCCATTGTTTTTTATTCAAATAAATTAAATGCTACAACTGGGGATTTGTGATTTTCTATTTTGATTATTTGTGAAATAATCACAAATAATTATACTAATACTAAACTGAAAACTATTTAGCTTTCAATGCCACCATTTGTTGAACATAGATAATAGTGCATTTGTTGGAGTACACCTACATAATTACAGCCACTTGAAGTGCTTCAGGACAACAAGTGGTGTTATGTTGAACTTCATGTTTGTTTTCATTCAGCCTCCAAAGGCGGGACTTCATAATCTTGTAATAAAGTTAAGAGCTGCATTGTATTGAAATTGTGTAACTGAAAAGTGCTCAACAGATGGAAGGATGAAATTTAATGAAACCATTGAACAGCATGAGGGAGAAGGCTTGCAGTGGTTTTACACATTCATTCAGTATTAGGATGAAACAGTGCTTACCGAGCCATCCGGCGCCAGAGTTTGGGACACACATGTCCGTCTCCGCACTAGGCAGGACGAACCCCACTACAAACACTTCCACACCATCAGACATGAGCGCCAGTCCGAGAACAAAGAAGAGTTGCCACTGGAACCTCCCGTGGCCGCAGTCCTGCATGATCAGCTCATACTGCTGAGCCAATTCCTCTTCATCTGCCAACCTCTCATTTTCAAGTTCCTTTTGACTCTTGAGGCTGTCTGAAACCGGCTGGCCAAGCGCCACCTGCCCATCGCGGGGTTTCCCTTCGTTGTAGGCTGGTACACCTTGATACTCTCCCTCATAGACCTCATCTTCGTCATCGTGACCCTCAGTTGCATCACTGGATGCCCCGTCTTCATCATTGGCTGCATTGTCACCATATTGACCATCTGGCTGAGTGTAAGCATTGTAGTTGTCCTCATCCTCATTTTGGAAGCGATTGTAGCTCCGTTGGGCTGAGTATTCATCAGAGGCATGATCAACAGCTTTGCTGAAATTTTTGGCAGCGTGCCTCTTGGCTTCCTTTGCGATGTCCTTGGCACCTTTGACCAAGGAAGTCCTGTTGTTAGGTGCTTCATCCATCTTTGCAGAGAGTTGGCACTAAATGTCTTATTTCCGTTTTATCACTTTTTTATTGCACAATGTACAGCAAATTAAAAATGTATGTTTTCTTACTGGTACTCTTTTTAGGATGGGAACCAGTTGCCAGGTAACTTATGGTTAAATAGTCCTTTCTAGTTTAATTGGATGGAAACTCTTCGGTCCTGTCAGAACTCAGTACAGGGAGTCTGTGGAGACATAGAAACAAACAAAGAGAAAGTTTAACTTGATAACTCCCACATTTCTTTGATGTAACAGTCTCTGTAAAATGCCTTTAGATGACATGTTGGGAATCGGCGCTGTACAAATAAACTGAATTGATTTGAATTAACAGCTGAGTATTTCTGTTCCACACAGCAATCCAAACCTTAAACTGAAACCTACTAAAAAGAGCAATCTGACAAGAGTAGATTTGCTGAAACTGAAAGGAGGGAGGGAACACATTATTAACCAAAAACACACATAAAAATTTCACAACTTTTTAAGATCTACTCTACTGCTTTCCAACGTGCGCTCGTTGGAAAACAAAATAGATAGTCTCCGACTCCAACACTCTTCAAAAAAGCAGATAAGTACGGGATGGTGCTGTTGGCCTAGAGGGGCTGATGCTGTATCGCGCCGATAGAAAACAAAGAGCTCTGCGTGAATGGAAACTTCTCTGACACTGTTCCCAGACAATCTTTGGCATCTAGAGGGGAAACACAGCCCTCTGCAGGTGAAAATGAGGAGAGCACTCTAAATGCTTTCCTGCCAAATGCTGAAACATCCCCAACCGGCTCCTCCCGGCCCACTCCAGCTTCACACCTTCTCCAGGATCGTCTGTCGCTGCTAAACCTGCCGATGGCACCACTGCTGCTTCAACCACGTCAGTCTCTTCAAAAGGGGGCTACCACCCTCACATCATTGTCATTATCATCCTCTTCCTCCCCTGAGCCAGGAGAAGCAAGTGCTTCAGGAGCTGGAGGCAGTAGTAGCAGCTTAACAATAACTGCTGCTTGTCTTATCAAGGCTGCACTTAAGAGTCTCATGCTCTGCCAACTGAGCTAGTCAGGCTCAATTTCCTGTTTTCCAGGGTGCTTTCAAATCAACAGGAATAATAATATGGTTATTATGTGATCAACTGGATGATGATTATGGATGTATAGATAGATAGATAGATAGATAGATAGATAGATAGATAGATAGATAGATAGATAGATAGATAGATAGATAGATAGATAGACAGACAGACAGACAGACAGACAGACAGACAGACAGACAGACAGACAGACAGACAGACAGACAGACAGATAGATAGATAGATAGATGCTTTTCATCACTTTGTGACAAGTATATCATGTCAAAGACCCTTAACAGTAAAAATCCCAAAGATACGAGAATTTTCGTCAGTCTCCAATCCCCCCACGGTACTTATCAACTCACGAATCCCTTTTCAGATGTAAATGCACCATTAGCGCTGTGGCTGGAGAACAATTCCACCCCCTTCAGTTTCGGTTTCAGCTAAAGTCTCTCTCTTTGAGAGTGTTTTACCTGAGAGCAGGGGGGAATCATATTTGTAATGAAATATAACTAGGTCTACATCATCAGTGTCGCCAACAGCGCAATGATTTCAGCGGAGCCAAAAGCGCAGCGATCAGACGATAACTGATCTGTACAATGAAAATAGCTGCATGAGCTGGAATGCTCAAGAAAGCAAGAATAGTTATACAATAATGACCATTTATACGATAATGACCGTTATTTATTTGGGGGAAAATATAACTCAAGCGATCTCTCCTCTGCTGCAGACATGCAGCCAGCATCTGCTGCAGTAAAGTTGGCAAAAATATTCACAGATTCGGCTTTTCCAGATCAATAACTCAGCAGATGATTTATTCTACAAAACAGACACCAGAGCAAGACAGTGAGCTACAACCGTAGTTTCCTTAAAGGCACACTATGCAACATTTTTCAGTTAATTAATGTGTTCCATGCCGTTTTGGATGATTAAATGAGTCATTTCAGGTTGAACAAAGGTATTCTCGGCCGCCCTGGTGGTCTGTGGTGGAAAAACCGCACTTGCAATTGCAGGAGCACCGACCCGCACCCACAGGCTCAGAAGTCTCGCGAGAGTCGTTCTTGCTTTACGGCGAGAACTGCTACACGCCCCCCGTTAAAAGCATGCTCGTTGCTAGCACAGTGGCGATCTTTGTGCAGTTATCATGGTGGAACCAGCGTGAAAACAGCTAAAGCCCATGTCGGAGCAGGCAAGAAAGAGGAAAAGGGCTCCGGACAGAGAGCGGGGTCGTACACGGGTGAACATCGGGCAAGCTTTTTCAAAATGGCGAGAGCTAAAATAAAAAGAATGCTGCAAGGCTGACGCGGACCTCGCATTTCTGCTGATGCGATTGTAAGTAACATTGGAATGGTTTCTATCTCTCTGTGTGCATGTTCATACTTTCACTGTGTTAGTCATTCGTTGCGTTCGCCTGTCTGCTAAGCTCAAAACAACCGCGCCTGGATTGACGGAGAAACCAGTAGAACAGCTGTGCATATTTACGGCAGTGCACTTTTACTTTCGCGCTCTGGGGGGAGCCTCGCTGGAAAATCAACACCGGTTGCATAGTATACCTTTAAAACGAGTCTCTGGTCATGTCACAGGTTATTTGCATTACAACAAGGACAGTTAGCAAGGTAAGGCAAGGCAAGGCAAATTTATTTGTATAGCACAATTCAGTACAAAGACAATGCAAAGTGCTTTACATGATTAAAATACAGGAAGATAAAACAGAATCAAAGCAAGTAGGGAAAAAAAAGGAAAACTGAAATTCTCTGGGATATCTAGTGTTAACTACACTGACATTTTAAAGAGTTCCCATTAAAGGCAAGGTATGGCAAATTATATATTTTTATTCCATCAAAACCAAAGAAATGGTCCTAGGTTTCTTTCTCAATATGTGAATATAGCTCAAACATCTTTTTGATGATCAGCCTTCTAAATACCTTCATCCAATGTGTTGGACCATTGTTCTTAATTGAAAAGGTGTTTCTCTTTCTATTCTACTAATACAATATGGAAAAGGATAAAAAGAAATGACCAAAACCAAGATTGGCGATTTTTGCTTTTGACAGGACGGTGCTGTAAACTTGTGGACAACGGAATTCAACGTATTTTGTAAAAAAATATATATAGTTTAAGGGATTTAAAAGGAAAACAAACAGAACCTGTAAACTGTAGGCCAATAAATTACATCTATTTTTTTGTTTTTCCAATAAAAACGATTGGTGACGATTACAGAAAAGATGAAATGTCAAGAGTGGGATTTGAACCCAAGCCTTCTAAGGGAGACCAGAAAATTATAAGCAGGTAAAAATTGATACAGTTGACTCTGGCGCCTTGGACCACTCTTCCATTCTGACTCTACATTTGTTAATCACAGTGGATAATATGAGAAGATGACTCAATATTCTATGAGATTTGGCGTATTAATAAATGCACAGCTGGGTAGTATTGCAAAAGCAGCCTGTGGTTGAGCAAGCATCAAGGACAATGTGATGCTATTGATCAAGAGTTTGCACAAAACCAGAAGCTCTTCCACAAAGTGCATATATGCAGTCAATGAGTGGGATGACAAGCCAGACTGCTATTGTAACACATCAAAACTTATTTCCCTACCAAGCACAACACTTGCAAAGTCCACAAAGATTTGAAACACCTAACATGGGACTTGAACCCATGACCCTGAGATTAAAAGTCTCATGCTCTGCCAGCTGAGCTAGTCAGGCTCAATTTCCTGTTTACCAGGGTGCTTTCAGATAACCGGCAATGATAATATGGTTCAGAACGTAACACAAAGCAAAAATGTGATTAACTGGATGATGATGATGGATGGTTTGATGGATGAATGGATGGATGGATGGATGGATGGATGGATGGATGGATGGATGGATGGATGGATGGATGGATGGATGGATGGATGGATGGATGGATGGATGGATAGTTAGATGCTTTTCACCACCTTCAGAGTCAATGTTAAACAAACTTTGTGACAAGTATATGATGTCAAAGACCCTTAACTACACTGACATTTTAAAGAGTTCCCATTAAAGGCAAGGTATGGCAAATTACATTTTTATTCCATCAAAACCAAAGAAATGGTCCTAGGTTTCTTTCTCAATATGTGAATATAGCTCAAACTTCTTTTTGATGATCAGCCTTCTAAATATCTTCATCCAATGTGTTGGACCATTGTTCTTAATTGAAAAGGTGTTTCTCTTTCTATTCTACTAATACAATATGGAAGAGGATTTTAAAAAATGACGAAATCCAAGCTTGGCGATTTTTGCTTTTGACAGGAGGTGCTGTAAACTTGTGGACAGAGGAATTTAACGTATTTTGTAAAAAAATATATAGTTTAAGGGATTTAAAAGGAAAACAAACAGAACAGCTTAGGGGCGGGAAGAAAGGGAAGAAGGGGGAAGAAGGGAAGGAGGAAGAAGGGAAGGGGAGGTATATTATTTTTAGCTAATGTGTAATAAAGAAGAAAAAAGTGACATCATAATACCATTAATTTATCCAAACTATAGTATATTAGTTGTAGCTGATGTGAAATAAAGACGAAATTACGTTTGTTTGAATGGAATAAAAGTTGGCCACCAAAACCTAAATTTTATAATAAGATCACCAACTTGTTTTTTTCTCTTATTATCTATTTTACAAGTTATGCTTCACTTTGATTGGCCGACTTCCATTGTGAGCTCAGACATTGATTGGTTCATAAATGGTGACGGTGTTGTGATTCTATAGTTAAATTCTATTCCCAGCCCGCTGGGAAGTTATGTTTCTGATACTTTAAGATGTTTATTGCCCTCCCCTGTAGGGGTGGTAAAATATCTTATTTAATCAGATGTCATTTCAGCTGTTATATACTGTTTATGACACACAGTCCTACTAACTGTGTGTTAGAACAATAAATGAAAGAGTGATTCGAGCACTAATCATGGTCAAACAGTTATTTCTGCACATACATGGAATAAATTCACCACAACTTCTGTTCAAAATATAAGAGTTTATTAACAAAAATTATTCAGCTCCAAGTCAAACGTATTTCAGTTTAACACTCTCAACTAAGACTAGTAAAACTCAACTAAACTAAACTAACTACTATGTACAAAGAGGAAGGGAAAAACGGTTGAAAAACATATTACA